TTAGTCTGACACTAGCAGACAGAAACACACTGCATTTATGCGCAAGTATTTCCCACTAGATTGTTTTGTGGGTATACATTTTATTTGACATCTCAGTTCTTAGTGAGAAAACATCAGAATTTTTGGTTCTGAAGCTAGTTATGTAATGTCTTAAGTTGTATGACATCACAAATTTGTCACCAATGAATTTAATAAGTTGGTGCCTATGTTCAGAGACTAATTACAACAAATGTACATATTACATTGAAAGTTCAACCAAAAAAACAAAACAAATGAATTTGAGGTGGTTTGATGTCTGTATAGTAATCTACGAGTTTTTTCTTTAAGGGTTGATGTCTATTCCTTCCGAGGGAAGACTAAGAGTGGTGATACAGCCCAAGCCTCAGTCTTTGCTAGTGGGAGATGCTCTGTATCTGGAATGTGGAGCTGTGGGAAAACCGCTGCCACGCTACCAGTGGTACAGAAATGGGGCTCCTTTAAAGAATGCCACCAAGCGGAAACTCAGTGTAAGAGATGAATAAAGAGCATGCACATACACATAGGCTTCCTTTACATATGTTTGTGTCTGGCTTTCCTAGAGGTTTGTGGCTCAATAGCTAATGTGAAGCAAATTTGCTGGGTATTATGTATCCATAATTATGGGTATTATGCATATAATTACATATTATATGCAGTGTAATGCAGAGTCTGCAGGTGTACAGGTTCTGCATTATTGCATATACTGTATAGTGTCACTATTCTTCTCAGTTAAAGGCTTTGTTATAACATATAAGTAATCAGTTGATTGGGAAAAATTCTTGTTTGTTGGATTAGATCCCATATTTGATGTTGGAGCACCAGGGAAGATATCGCTGTGAAATCTCCTGCAACAATGAGCGGACCTGGAGTAATGAAGTAGACATCCTTGTAGGTATGGCAGCTTAGAAATACCTATCACCCTAATGTAAAGTGATTAGTAAAGCTAATATGGGCTATTACATCATAGCTCTATCATCAACTTAATAGAGTTCAGTCCTCAAGTAACTGCTCTTATTCTGAAGTAAAAGGGCCGAGGACAACCTTCCAGTTTTCAGGGGCAACGGAATGCTCTGAAGGTATTTAGTAAAACATAATGTCCCTCCTTCCTCTCTCTCTGGGGATTTTGGGCATTTACTCCATTCACCCAATCTGAATCTGGACGTCTGTGAAACCAGTTCTAATCCACGCATACTTGGTGCTTTTTTTTTCAATACTCTTGTCAACACTCTTTTCATATTCTTCTGCTGACTGTTGGGATGGAGGTAGGCCCCACCAGCCAGTAAAAGGCCCCACTATGGAGCTGAGCCTCTGTTCAAAAAGCAGGATATGGTGGTGAGGAATAGTCATTTGTGTGTGCGTGTGCATGTACCAAACCTGAAATATGGTTCTTTCACCTTTGGATTCTTTTAGTCTCTCATTTCGTTCACACTTTCAGTGCATGCAAATATGACGCTCTTAGAAAAAAAAAAACATCTAGATGTTTTAAGCATTCTGTGGTTTGCCCCTCTGTGGAAACCCTGAAAGAACCCCACAACACAGTGTTTCTCCAGCAGAGAGGGTGCCAAGTAGAACCTCTTTAGCATGCTAAGAATCCTCAGCTGTCCAGAAAACCCTAAAAGAATGCTTTTTTTTCTAAGAGTGTACTAGTTACATTATTTTCTAAAAAAAAAAAAAAAAAAAAAAAGTGAGATAAGAAAGCAGGAAAACATTGGGTAACACTTTATCATTCATCTTGATGTATTTGCATACTTTCCTGTTCTCCACTCTCTTGCAATGAAAGATCTTCAGCTAATGAAATCAGCAAGTTAATAAAACAAGAAATCAGATTTGCATGTCCTTGAAATGCCTAGGATTTCTGATGTGGGTTAGTTTGGGATGTTAGTTGTTCATCTTTTCCTGCTTTGCTTCTCTCATTGGTATCACCTTATATCAGTTCATATTGAGCTATTTCAAATTCAAATTTTTTTTTTTTAACAGATGACTTCATAGCCATGGGACAGTGTAAGTGTTTTCACTTCTACAATTATAGACTGGTTCCTCAAATCCTGCACTCATATTTAGTGATTTTTTTTAATAATTGTGTTTTTGTGGGTTTCATTTTCAGATAACAGTCTCGAGAAGCCTTACGGTGGGTAACACAGAAATTCCGTCACCTTCTAATTTAGCAGCATGTATGCCTTTTGCAAATGATATTAGTTCCTAAAAACCAAACTAATTTGGCTAAAAGTTCCTGAGATTTAAATATAGAAAATATAAAATATTAGATTTTTTTAATGGAATGATATTCCATTAATGATAACAGATATTAAATATTATTTATACCACAGCACTGTTGAATGTTTAACTCTGATTGGACGTTATCATTTCTATAGTAACAGCTAATTGACAGATACCTGCATAGTGAAATCCTTAGGTCCACATTAGACCAATAATAGATGCATTAAAAATGTGTTGTTTAAGAAAAACTGTTTATATGGTGATGCATTCTGTATATTAAACATTTGTGGAAGGAGTCTCCAGTGTCAGTGCTGCATGTTTTTGTCTTACTAACTTTAACTATTAACTTATTAACTAAAAAAAAGAGGTGGTGAGGGATGACTTTTTATAGCTGTTATAACAGGAACAAATTTGTTCCTTAGACATTCCACAACAAATGTAACTACAGGGTGTCCCAAGAGTCTCCATACCTAGGGGAAATTAACACTTTTTAGCAAAATGTAACTTTATTTACAAAACAGCCTCTACATTATTGCCATTTCTTTGTAAACACACAGCCGTCTCTCCCAACTTCAGCTCCCGGTTTGGCAGCAGTGTCGTGTGTGATGTGCTTTCCATGTTTCTTGTCAAAGTCCATCGCAACCTTGCGACAGCTTCCCGATCCAGCCATGAGAATGATTTCAATACGTTCTTCTCTTGTCAAAGGCACTCTTAAAGGCTGTCTGAAAGAAAATATATA